ACTTACTGTTGCAGGGCAGACTCTCCAGTTTATGTAAGGACTTTCACATCCCTTCCCAAAACACTATTTTGTAATTTCCTGCAGCCATACTCCAGTAAACCACATCAGGTAGTCCATTGCCTGCTTACAGCAGCAGTACACTAGAGGAACTTCTTTGCATTGCAATGCTGTGTGTTTGAGTTTCAAATGTGCCTTGATGAAGTGTTTTGGTGAATCCTGCTTCTTTAAAAAGAACTTGAAAATCATGCAGTTTAAGAACAGACAAAGAACATTTCAGAAGCACTTTTCCACTTTCAAAAGAAACCGAAGTAAATAATTTTGCAACTCAGTGTCTTCCCAAACAGGCAACATTTCCTTGCTACTGACAGCTGCTGTAAGGACAAGGCCCATACTTTAATTTCTGATGTTAACCTGAACTGAAAACATTAAGTGATCAACAAATGTTGATAGCAACAGTTTCTTAGCTTATGCCAATATAACCTAGACAGACTTACTTGTGGTTAGATGATCAAAGCAGTTGCTTACACATGCACACTTAAATCAGGATGTGTTTTTCTAAGACATGGCCAAAGTCACCAAGCATTCACAACCGTATTATGCATCAAGTCATTTTTCACAATTTGGACATCTAGCATAGTATTTGAGCATTGCAAGTGATTGAAAACTTAGCTTTCCTCCCTTCACTCGAAGTGAATTTATTTAAGCAGACAAGTGGAAACAGATTAGCATAACATAGAGCAATTATTTGCCAATGAAAAATATTCCCAATATTAAACTACTTTTTGACATGCTACTTCTTGATACATTCACACACGAGTTTCTTCCTAAACAGGTCTTATTTTATTTAACCAAATGGGGGGGTGGGGGGTGTATATCTTCAATTAAAGGAAAATTAATCCTTCAGAGCATTGATAACCTCCTTGGCATTTGCTCATTTAATAGAGGGTATGTTGTCATACAAGAACGAAACTACATAAGCTTCCAAAAGGCTTCCAAGTAAACTTATCAGGACAACAACCATGAATATAAAATGTTTACACGTAATTTACTCTACTTATCAGGGCTACATTACATTTTCTGTGGGTTTTTCTTTTTTTCACTTCATAACCTGATACCTTTAATTCGAAGAAGAGCATGTTGGTTCAGGTAAGAAAAATATAAAAGAGTTTAATTTTGTAGGAGAAACTCACCAGAGAATCTTTTAAGAGACTCAAATTAAGGTTATTGACAGGTAGGGAGACTTGAGGTAGTTAATATATACATGTACCTATGTGGATATATGTATACACTGGCCAGAGCTCTGGGCAGATTATGAGAAAACAAAAAGCTAATGCAAATAGAAATACAATGTTCCTAGAGAACACAAAGTAATATATGCTCTGCTTCACTAGGATAAGGCTCTTATGAGGCCAATTGTAAGGGCCACATATCCAGGATACTTCAAAGCAAGTTGTGCCCAACGTGCTGAGGGAGTTTTTATTAAGCTGTTTTCACTCATACATCAGATTGCTGGGGAGGAGGGGGAAGAGAAATCATCATTTTATGTCTCTGTCACTCAGAGATAAGATGAAATTGCCACATGGAGATATATTCATGACTATACATAGACACACTGTATATATCATGTACAGTA